GTGCTGGCTCAGCCTTCAAATGGAAGGTTGTGATAAGACAAGGCCAAGGGCATGCTTCTTGGCCACAGAGTTGTACAAACACAAGTAAGAGTGGACACACATGGCCAGAGCACAGCGTCCTGCATAAGAAATTGCATGGAGGTCTTAGGCCTGTTAGTCTGGCTCCCAGAGAAGTCTGAGGTAGTCTGGGGATGAATGTCAGAGTCTTGGTCACACCTTGGGGACTGCCCCACACTCAGTAATCACACTGTCTATGAATAACACCAAGGCTGGTGGTTGATGATGACATCTGGCCCAGAGAAAGTTTCTTCTATATACCTTCAGACTGGCTCTTTAGGACTAAGGGGTAGAAAGGCTCCCAAGGGCTTATGTCACTCTTACTCTCTACTTATCTACAAAACCCACCACCCAGTGGTGTACTGCCTGTAGTGGTATGAAAGTCCTTCAGAATGTTGCTGATCTCACTGTAGGGAGCCCCGACTCTGCAGACTTCCTTTTGCATCCTGTTCACTAAACAAAACAACAACAACAAAATTCCAAACCTGTTTTTTTTCAAACAAAGATGAAAGGATGTCCAAACTTCTTTCCCATTATTCCAAGTCTGCTATTAATATTTGTCAGTGCACTGGTCATGCAGATGCCTGAGTAGTAAAGTGGAAGATGGGGTTTGACAGAGATTTGAGATTAATTTAGGGACTATGAGTTCCCAAGAGATTGGAAGACTTTTGAATATTATTCTGTGTGTATGAGGGAAGCACCAATGGTTTCTGATGACTCTGGCAGCAGAGCACAAGATGGATGGGAGTGGGCAAAGAGTGGATCCAGAAAAGTCAAGGATGGGTGACTCTTTCAACCATCCTTCATTCAATCCATTACTCTTTCATTCTTTCTTTCTTCAAGGTATCAACTGAACATTGATTAAATTCCATAGACTATTCTATGCTCACTGAGGAATAAAACAAAGTCCCCACCATTGAAGCTTACATTCTAGTAGGGAGATACAGCTAATAAACAACAAATGTAATAAATAAGTCAGTTGTGGAGACAATTCGAATATGTTCAGTGAAAAGTAGAGCAGGATAAGATGAATCTGGAGTGCCACTGGGGAGGGAACGCTATATTTGGCTTCACTGAGAACGGGAAATTTGAGTAAAGGAACAGAAGAGGTAGAGAATTAATTATATGGGTATATAGAGGAAGGGCATTCCAGGCAAGGGAAAATGTTTGTGCAAAGATTCTGAAGTGGGAGCATATCTGGCACATTGAAGGGACAAAAAAGAGACCAAAAGTGCAGGAGTGGTGAACCAGGAAGAAGACAAGTAGTAGATGAAGTCAGAGGCAATGGATGCCAGATCAAGTAAATTTCTAGGCCATTATAAGTGCTTCTCTATAAGTCAGGGTTTTTTAACGTGGGCATTGTTGACCAGAAGATTCTTGGTTGTAAGGGCTGTTTTGTACGTTGTATGGTGTTCAGCAGAATCCCTACTCACTAGCAGCCACTAGATGCCATTAGCACCTTCCAGAGTTGTGACAATAAAATGTCTTCAGACATTGCCAGATGTTGCTGGTGGAAGAAGTTGCTCCAGAACTACTGTTCTAAGTGAAATGTGGAGAAAATAGAGATTTTTAAGCAGAGGAGTAACAATCTGATTTACATTTTTAAAAGACTGTTTAGTGTCTTTTAAACACTAAAATTTTAAAATTGACTTGGAAGGGTTAGGGTTGTAGCTTAGTGGTAGAGCGCTTGCCTAGCATGTGTAAGGCCAGGGTCCAATTCCCAGCAGGGAAAAACAAAAACAAAATCAATCAAAACCTTCTTGGAAAACGTATGGGAGAGAACAGGAGAGAAGAAGAGTGTTTAGGATAATCCATGGACTGAGCTAAGGATGTCTCAACGGAGATGTTAAGAAGTGATTGGATTTTGGATATATCTTAAAGATATAAGATGTAAGACGTGAAAGAAAGGAATTAAAGATTACTGGAAGATTCTTGGTCTAAGCAACTAGAAGGATAGAGTTTCCATAAACTCAGAGAAGACAGTGGATGAAATAGGTTTTGAATGGGTATGTCAGAGTTGGGCATGCAGAATTTGAAATTAAATTCCAAAAGTCCAAATGAGAGGATATGAAGCACTGAACTGGGCAGTGATAGTAGAGACGGACAAGGTACTTTGTGTTCAAGAGATAGCCATTTTTCTGGGTTCTGGTGTCTCACACCTATAACCTTAGCTGAGATCGGGAGGATCTCTGTTCAAGGCTACCTGGGACGAATAGTTCGAGAGACCCCCATCTCCAAAATAACCAGAGCAAGGGTTGTTGGAGTGGCTCAAATGGTAGAGTGCCTGCCTAGCAGGCATGAAGCCCTGAGTTCAGACCCCAGTACAACAAAAAGCAAAAACAAACAAACAAGCAAAAAACCAAATCAAATAACCAGAGCAAAATGGACTGGAGGTGTGGCTCAAAGTGGTAGAGCACCTGCTTGGCAAGTGCAAAAGCCTGAGTCCCACAAAAAAAAAAAAAAGAGAGAGAGAGCCATTTTGATTAAAAAATAACGATGGGTTTGGCATTCAATAAAGTAGAAGAAGGACTCATGATTTTATGACTGGAGCAATGCTGGAAGAGAGAGACTGAACAGAGAAATAGAACCGGGCATAGAAACAAGGAAGGGAAAGATGGTGGTCTTACCACTAATCATACTGGATTTGAGATGTCAGTGGGACAGACAAAAGGAAGGCCTAGGAGCATTAGCAATGCAGCTCTGGTGGAGAATCCCTCCCCATGAGTTACAGGTATACTAAGAGAGATTGACAAAAACAACTATTAAAGATGCCAAGAGACTGAGGAGAAACAAGAGTCAAGAAAGGAACAGAACATGGAAGGTCAGGGGTAAGGAGGGTTCCAAGAAAATCCAAATAAGCAAAAACTCAGTTTAGCTAACACTACACTACAATACCTATAATAATACATGAGGATTTTTTTCCCCCCTTGGTACTGGAGTTTGAACTCAGAGCTTTGTGTTTGCTAGGCAGACACTCTACCACTTGAGCCATGCCTCCAGACCATTACATGAGATTTTTAATATTCAGGGCTAAGTCCAATCTCTTCTGTTAAAAGTAATAATTTATTGAACCCATAATATCCAAGCTTGTGAAACTGCAAATAACACGTAACAATGAACTACTAGCACACATGATTGTATTTCATGAAAAATCTGTCTGTATTTAAGTTTGTCCATACAGATGTATCCATGGGCTTGATGGGCCTCAAGGAAGCTAAGCTCTGAATGCCATATGCCATTTGTTATCACTGATTATTTATGTATATCCTTGGAATTTCTTGACATGTCCCTTATCTGCTGTTTTGCAAATGTAGAAATGGCTGGAAAAAGAAGAAATTCTGAAAGCCCTTAAAATTATTTTTAAAAATTGAGCATTTATTATATGGAAGTAGTTTGAACTCTGCCTGATTAAACTATTTGTATCTATTCAAAACAGCAAAAAAAGTACTCTGACTAAAGGTTATGATTACATTGAAAGAAATTCCTTGAATTTATCAGATTCACCCTTCATTTTCTCCTGGTTTCAAAAGGCAGCAGACCTTTTGCAATTCCTTGAAATCTAAATTGGAGATTATGTTGCCATATTTTGACTGAGAAAGTTTAGCTTCCTCCTCTCACCCACTTCTTCCCTGGGAGCATGGTCTTAATCTGAGGTGTTTCAAAATTGCTTTGTGTGCTACAACTAACTGCCCCAGGGCAGTCAATGAGATGAAATGCATTTTCCCCTTTTCATCAGAGTTCCAAAACTTTACTGGCTTCCAACTGTGAGTGGTCACAGCCCTTTTCCTGGCTTCAGGGAGAGCAGGGCTGACATGGTGCCTTTGCTGCTTTTGGCCTTTCAGTGCATTCTAGTTGAGGTACTGGTTTTAAAAGATCTGAGGAAAGAAGGAAAAGTCCAAAAAGGCTTAAAGGGTTTCCATTTCCAACAGATTTCCTGACAGATGGCTACTCAGGAATATGCAGGGACAGCTCAGGGGCCTGTGGCAGCTTCTCTCACAGGAGAAGTAGGGCTTCACTCCATATTCCAGAAAAGTTTTTAAGCCGCAGCCTGGAAACAGCCAGATTATCAGCAAAGGAAGAAAGGGAAGCAAAAAGCAATGTGGCTTTCAGAGGCTGAGAAAGAGAACAAGTTCTATCCAAATTAACTCCTGGTAGTTCTCAAAGTTTCCGAGTGAAAATACATGGAAGGGGAGGGCACCGGCATTAATAGTAACAAGTGGTTACCAGCCTAAGGTGGTGAAGCATTTTTACGATGAATGTCGCAAAAAACCTCAGCCACCAACAATTTTGTATTTTGGGAGTTCCTCTCCTTCAACTCTAGGGCGGGGCACAAAACAAAAAGGCCAGAGGAAATAACCGGGGAGTGGAGAAAGCTCAGATTTCTCCATTGGTGATGGTGATCCCCTGTTCTGAGGGTGGCTGTGAGTCTGTCCCTGGTTGCTGGCATAGTGGGGTGGGAGTAGGGGTGGGGGTGGGGAAGAAATACAATGTAGAGCCCAGTGAGTTCCAGCTTACTGAGCCTCGGTTTCTGGAATTGCAACCTTTGTAGCCTTTACTCTCGTCTCCAGCTATTTCATAGCAGGTTGGACTTTACTGAGTTACTTAAATTCAACCAACTCTGGCAACCTGCTCTTCCAAGGAACTCCCGTCCCAGACAAATTCTCTGGGCCAACTATTCTCTCAAGTGCAAAGAACCATAAAGGAGTTGCAACCGTCTGGCGACTCCCATAGTGGAGAAAGAGGGCTGGGGTGGGGAGGATGATGCCCTATTCGGCCTTCTCAGTCAGGGACGCCCCGCGGGAACGCAGGCAGCACTAGCACCAACAGCTGTCCCGGCTCTGAGACCCGGAGCGGCGGGGCGGTTTCGTGAGGAGGGTCTCGGTCCTCTCTGGATCCGCCCGTCCCCGCTGAGGCTTCCACTCCACTGGGCCCGCCATCCTTACCTGACGGTTTCCTTGGAGCACTTAGCCTGCAGCTTGCTAGCCTCTGAGGACCCGGGACGGCGCTCTGCCATCAAAGCCTCGCCCCCTCTCGAGGCTACACCCCCCACCAGACATTTGCGCACCGCTGCTTCCCTATGTACCGCCCTAGCCACGCCCCACCAGACCGTGCCGGCCTCGGCCCTCAGCCCTGGCCACACCCCTCCACCCTGAGCCACGCCCCTGAGCTCCGCTCTGGCCACACCCCTTGCCCCACCCGCGGAACCATTCCCACCTTCCTCTGCCTGGTCTAAAAAGTGACTTTCCTTAGGTTTCTCCCCTTTTCCGAACACCAAGACTTGTCGTGCTAGGAACAGGTGACTCCATAGGGAAACAAACACTAGACTGTCCTTTCCCGCTAGCTTCCATGCCCAATTTACCCGAATTTTTAAATATCCTCTGAACTTGAACTGTGGGTCTGTGTTCCTTCCAGCAAGTTCTCATACCCTCTAAACCAGAATGTTTCTTCTAGCTCTTTGGCCTTATCCGACCTTAAATGTTAGGCAGGTTCGTGGAGTAAGCACACTGTATTGCCTGTTGTCTCCTCCTGATGATTTTCTGTGGCCACCTGTCCGGCCTGTCTTGCCATCACCCCACTGACACTGAAACTCTCACTGTAGCTATGTGCTCTGAAAGTAGTCTGTTATCCTTGCTGCCTCCATTAAAAACTCTTGGTCCACATATTTTTTTTTAAAGCAGAGATTCTGAATCTCTGAATGGTCACTCCTGGAGGAAGGGCATTCTCCTTTAGCCTCTCAGTCACTCATTCATTCAAACTATATTTATTGAGTATCATATCTCAGTGACAAATAAGACAAGCCTCAAGGAGCTTACAGTCTGAAGTTGCCCCAACCTGGGTTTTGACAAAGCAATAAATGACAAAGTGAAAGTGTGGTAAAGGGGGTTCATAGGTGGAAAAGGACTTTGTAATCACAGGAATTCTTGATCTGATTGATGAGATATTTTGGGACAGGAAACACAGGAAGCCACTTTTATAGTCCTTTACAAAATAAATCTTCCTTGTACATATCCTGTTTAACTTGCATATAGAACACACACCCCCCTTCATAAGCAATGAGATCTGCTGCATATAATTCTTCATATGCCAGCAATAAAAATGTTAGGATCACATATTAGCTCCCTTCTTTCCCACCCTCCATTCCATTTCTGCTTGGGAACAATGGGAGCCTTCACAATGTTGAGATAGAAGGAGCATAGAGAAAATAACAATTCTCAACAAAACATTTTTATTCACTTCACCTTGACCTTGAGGACTCTGCCTTCTTTATACTATGTGTTTCAACATGTAAGTCATTTCTTGCCTGAAAAAATAAACTAACATGAAATGGGGTCAAATACAGCTTATATAAGTTGCTGTGTTAATATTACACTCACCTTCGTCTATAAATGATTTGAGGAAGCCTATAAAAATAAAGATAATGTTGGATAAAAGAAATAGTGAAGGAAGAAAGGAAAGGGGAATCTTTTAAAAGAGAAAATAATGCAGCTAGTGATAAGATAAACACTTGAGTAAACAAGCCTGAATTTGTTCCTTCTAAACATAAAAGAAAATGTCCTTGTCAAAGGTGGGACAAAGAAAAATCCTGAATCCTTATAAAGAGTGAGCTAAGTGGGGAAAAAGGATCCTGAAGAATTATACACAGTTCCTTTCAAGGAAATAATGTCTTAATCTTTTTGCAATACTGGGAATTGAACCCAGGGTCTTACCCTTGATAGGCTGGCACTCTACCACTTGAACTACACCTCCAGCCTGCATTAAGCCTATTCTATGAACCCTCCAAACTTTCCCATTTAATTTAGAGTACACAGTTCCAGAATGGCGCAGTTGCATTAGCTTGATTCAGTGTAGCAATCAGATTATTGTTCCCCGGGATGGCAAGTATGCTTCAACTCGCATGTCAACTCTGATCCATTCATAGCAGCTGTCTGAATAAACTCTGCTGTGACTAACAATGCCTGCCATGGGTACAGGATAGATGAGTGGCTGCAAGAAACTACCTGGCATCTCTGGTTTGTAGGAATAGAGACCTTATCCTTCAAAAATTTTGTATTAATAGGCTGCTGGTAATTTCAACATGATAGAGACATTATCAATAACCAAACCATAAAGGCAGAAACTTTGAGATGTTGAATAATTTATATGCTTTGTATATCAACCAGGAGAAAAGTAATTTAATGTTCTGTTATGAAAATGACAGCATCTAACCAAAGTGGTACATGACCAAATGCCCCTACACCTCTTTTATAAAGGCTGGCAAAGGAAGTTTGTATGGGCAGGGCTAAACACATTTGAGTAAACTCCAACAGTCAGTGAAATTAGTGATTAACGACTCCAAATTCTATCTCCTACCTCCATGCACGGCTGTGAGAATTTTAGCCTAGAAAAACAAGTATTATATGCCAAGACCATGGAAAATTTCAATATAATGCCCCAGAAACAATGTAAATGATTGAACAACTAGGAAGAAGTATCAAAAGATTCAGTACAGACTTGCTGTAACTGTATGTGACTCACTATGACTTAATGGTGTTGATTCACAAACACGTACTTACCCCTCTGTTTAAGAAACTATCCTTTGAATTTGTTAGGAATATCATGTTTACAAAATTATACTCACTCAGTTTGAGTTAATTTTTATTTCCAAACAGTAGCGATTAACTTTCTCTGAAACAAAAAAAATGTTAGCCTGTGGAAAAAAGATCAAAGTTCATAACTGTTATGCTATTTATTAACCTACAAAAATTTGATGATCTTTTTGAATGTGCTAGTTTCAGAAGATTGTCTCATCTTAAATGGGCATAAAATGTAAGGACGAAGATGAAAATATTCCAAAACCCAACTTTCTTTGTTTATGATAAATCCTGGAAGTTGAGTTCTTTTTTTCTTGGCCAGGAATGAAGAAAAATGTATTATAATTCAAGACACTTCATTCTCAATAGTTTTGGATTTCTTAGAACTCTAGTTTGTGACTAAGATTAGGTAATTCAATTATATTCGATGATCAAATATTTATAGGATATGAGAAATACAAAAATGAGTCAAAATATAGTCCTTACCCTCCAGCAAGTTTCAATTCTGAACCACAGAAATGTAGATCATGTTGCGAATAAATCATGTAAGAATTTAAGTAAGATGCTCTGAGAACACAGAAAATGTGAAAATCAAAAGCTAGTGGATTGGACGAGTCAATTATAAAACTGTACAACAAAAGCAAAAGAAAGGAAAGGTTTCTCACAGGAGATAGTCAAGAAAGACCGGAATAATGGCTAAGATGTTTAAAGGTAAAATAAATGAAAGCTCACAGGATTCATATTAAAGAAATCATGTATAAACAAATGCACACAAAGGACAGAGGTCAGACCTGCAGGACTTGCAAGGACTAACTGGTAGACTTGCTCAGAGAAAATGGAAGAGGGGGCCTTGGTGTGGAGACATCTGAAAGCCAAGTTGGTTCAGCTCTTAGAGGACAGTGTTTGGATTCTCTGATGTTAGCTCTGGGGTGCTAGTGAAGATAGGAGTGTGGGAATGGCTTCAGTGTAAATGACAAGAAGAAGGAACATGGAAGTCACAAAGCAGGATCTCTACTGCTTGAACCATGCCTCCAGGCTATTTTTCTCTAGTTCTTTTGGATATGGATTCTCAAGAAAGAGTTGCCTGGGCTGGCCTAAAACTGCGGTCCTCCCCGTCTCAGCCTCCCAAGTGCTAGGATTGTAGGCATGAGCCACCAGTGCCCGGCTCTAGAGCCACAAAATTTCAATACAGGAGACTCTAAAACGTGTTTTTTTTTTTTCTTTCACAATTGAGATTTTATTGTTGAGGATCAGCACACATTTTCAATTTGTACACAATTTTTTACACAAGTACCAAAAATCTAAAGCCAAGTATTGTTTCTTTTTTAAAAGTATTGTTTCTTTATTCCAGTGACATTCCAGCTTCAAACTTGGAGGCAAATTTTCCTTGAGGACAATACCGTATCTTCAAATGCTGATTATCTGCTACTTTACTTCCACTGATTCATAATTTTGTTTCACATGCACCACATACTCAAGTTTTCCATCTTTCACAGCACGTTAACAAATTAGGAAAACTGGACTGCCATGACCAAATGTTACAGAGCACACACAATTTTGACAGCCAAGATCTTGATTTTCTTTAAGAAACAGTTCTACCAGAAAACAACACAGGACCAGAGTTTAAAATATTCAAGACATATTAAATGCGCAACTGTGACCCAAATTGCCATTTAGTGTGCTTTGTATTGTAGGATATACAACTAACGCCCACCTATGGAATGTTACCCCAACACCCCAGTCAGCCAAAGCCTCCTCAATTCAATATCCCACTGTTTTCTGGTTGTACCAAAAAATAAACCAGCGAATGATTTCACTTCTTAAAAAAAAAATCATTTACACTTAAAAAATGGGATGAGGTGGGATTCCCTCCTTTTAAAAAATGGTTTTAGAGCTACTACAAAACTTGCATTTAGAAAATGGATAAAAATATTCCTCTGGATTGTACAAGAAGGGAGACGAGGAGCGCTGGGGAGATGTGGCTCGTGGTTAGTCCCACGTGGCTTCTTTTTCTTCTTCATCAGAAGCTGTACTCTCCTCGTTTTTAGTTTCTCCGTTTTCTGCAGGTAAGTCTTCTTTAGTTTCTTGGTTAGCCACTTCAGCTTGTTTTCCCTTTGCCCCCCGTTTCCTTTCGCTTGCACTTTCTTGTCTGAAGAGTTCTCTTTCCCCGCTGCCTTTTTGGGCTTCGACTCCACCTTTGCAGGCGCTGGCTTAGCTGACAACCTGGCCGACCTCCGACCTCCTCTTGGACTCTCCCTGCGCTGTGCGCCTTCGGCCCAGCTGGCCTTCCTCTTGGGCATGGTGGCGGTGCAGGAGGCGCGTGCGATTGCTGGGGTCTGGGGAGCTACGCTGCCTGGCTGCTAAGATCCGCGGCCTGAAACATGTTTTGACTTGGAATAGATGAGTGGATTCAAAGTCCACAGGAAGAGCTGAGCATTCCAGCTGCCTCCTTCTACCTCACTGCCCTGCGAGTCTTTCATTCTTAACATGTC